ATGATAAGATTTTGTTCTAGTTAAACATTTACACAAGCGAAGAAGAAATATGATCCAACGAATAAAGATAAATCATTGAAAATTTGATTTAAACATTCATATATAAGGGTAAATTTATCAAATCTAAATTAATTTATATTTATTTAAATAGGTTTAAAGAATGGTTACAAGAAAATGAAAATAAGGAAGGTAGACGTAATATCGTAAACCACAGGGAAGGTGAGTGTTATAGAGCGAAGCCTGGAAGGAGGTCTCTGAAATTATCTCTATTTATTAAGTTTGTTTTTTCAAGTAAAAGTATAAATATATAAATAAAAATATTAAACTAATTATTTTGAATTTGGACTCTCTTTAATTTTAAATTTTAATATTATATTATATCTTTAATTAATTATTATTGGCCCACGGACCGACCCTACCTATATTTCTGAAGCCCATCAAATCAATAGGCTTATTCAGGTCGGGCTAAAAAGTCTTTTTCTTAAATGGGCTCCAAAAATCTTAGCCCAACCTTATTAAATCCCGGGTTAGGCCAAGCCGGCCCAACGGGCCTAGCCCATATTGACGGCTCTAGGTGGATGGAGGGTAATTTTCATTCTCAATACTTTGAGGGTATTTTAGGCCCTTTTCCGATTATAATAAGAGGCCATAAAAAATACATATAGAATAGAAATGAAATAGTTCGAACTTCATGTGTGTGTAGGGAAGGCCTATGTGATAAAAGGATAAGGATATAGAGTTCTAGTTTGCCTTTCGGGGAAGAAATTTGATTTTCCATCTTGAAGGTTTACCATGAAATAGTCATTCTTGTCTTGAATGTTTGACTGACCTCTGCTTATTTCATGGGCAAACTTTCAAGACGAAAAAACAAGTTTCTTTTCCAAGAGGCAAACAAGGTCAAAAGTTCAAGACCAACCACCTCTAAAGTCATTAAAACTTGGAGCCTCAAACCTTGGAGGTTTAAAGCTAAGCAAATGTCGATAAAGGAAATTTAAAAATTTATATATAAACAAAAAAGATTATTTCATCCTATTTGTACTATCTAATATTTGAACGAAGGAGATTCGATTGAACCCCTTTAAACACACTTTACCTCTGCCACTGATTGGCCACCAACATCAGATAAAGCACCAACAAGCAAAATTTAATATTCCTCCTATCCTTCATCCTTAATAAAGTAGTGCACTTTTTTTTTCTGATTTTATATAATTTGTTTTTTCTTTTCTATAGATATTGTTTTGTTGATGTTGCAAACCTAGCTAGTTAAAGGGTTTATATAGGCCCCCACTCCCACCTCCAAAAAAAAATATCATTATTTTCCATGGTGCAAGAAAAAAATTAGGAAGTTTTTCCGTATTTCATACGTTTTTCTATTGAATTGATTCGATAGAAAATAGGTGGGGAAAAGAATCATATTTCGAAACACAAATTTTATTAATTTGCGAAGAAAAAAATCTCTGTTTCTAGTCCTTCTAGATGGCTCAGTTGGTTTCTGGGATCGATTTTCCCTCAATGACCTTCAGTGTCGAGTTTGTCGCATAGATTTGCTTAGTGTGATTTATATTTCCTATATAATTTGTAAATAAAGTTCACCCGAAAAAACAGATATTGTAGCAACCACAGATTATTCCAGAGTTATTAAAAAAGCTTTGTTTTCGATAATACCTTAGCCACTCTCAAACAAAAAAAAATAAGTCATTATTTTCAAGAATGCATGCAGTGACAAATGGGGCAAAATTTTGTTTGTTTTAGATGACTTGACTTGGAAAATCAGGTATAGAGATGAGCAAGTTGATTGGAATATCAAATTATCGATCAATTAAAACTGTGAGATCGATATAAAGAAATTTTACACTATTATATCATAATTATTTATTGTTATAAATATAATATAACTAACTGATGATATATATTTTGAAAAGTATCTATAAAAACATTTTTTGAATGATAAGATGATGAATGTATTTTTATATTAAACGATGTATATAACGTGAATATAAATGAAGGAGATATTTAAACCTCTGCTAGGCAGCATTTCCTTTTTCTACAAATATTTTGTTCTGATCCTTTAAAATAAAAAGAAAGCCTTGTTTTGAATTTCTTAACAGCTTTTTGATTAAATTATGTAATTGTAATATTTATTTTAAAATTTATATTTATGATTAAAAGAAGTATAGGATCTTATTAATAAAAAGAAAAAAATATTATTTAGTTAATGTAACTTATGAATAAATTTATATTCGAATGTTAATATTCTTATTCTTTTTTTTCTTTTCATGAAAAAAATTTCCAAGTATGATCTTTTAACGTTAGTTTTTTTCATCCACTCTCTTATTTTAATCAAATAATCTTATAAGAAATTAATATTAATTTAAAAAATTATCATAAAGTTAATATTTTAATTTTTTTTTTTTTTGGGTAGACTTGTTTCAATCATCTACTGTGGTTGCCCTAAGTCTACGGCAAACTAATGTTGTCAGCCATGCATTTAACTTACTGGATTTCAAATATATATTCCCTCTATCTAAGTCACGTCTTACTTTTTTAAATCTATTTTAATATGAAATATTAGTTTTCATAATTTAAAAATATTTTTTAGTGAAATGATTTATAGCTACGTAAATAATATATAAGAAAATAGATTTTATTCACCTTTAATAATCAAATAAAATGTGAATAGCTCGTCTTTTTCTTTTTGAAAAAAAAGGTACGGGCTTCTGATTCTGTTAATATTTAAAAGAATGATATTTTCTTCTTCGTATGATTATACATCATCAGTTACATAGGAGGCATTTTGAGAATTTTAGTAACATCTTAAAATATTCACAAAGAATGTTGAAATATTCATGATTCGAAACAATAAGAATTCAACTCAAGGACCGGTGAGAGATACATGTAATTATCCTTTAAATAACCTGATTAGATAAATATTTTTGTACTTTAATAACATAAAACTAAAACTCAGTTTATAATTTAACAATACAAGGAATTCATGCCAAATTAATAAATATATATAACATTTGCTTGCACATACATTTCTTTCACTTTAATTAAAAAATGTTTTTAACTAAATTAGTCTCAATATAGAAACTAAACTATTTCATCAAATCATATAGAATATTCACACCTACAAATAGGAGGGGAAAAGGAAGATTTTACAAAAAGAACAAAAAAAAAATTACAAGTAATGGAAAGGCCGATTAACACATTAAATTTAATTAATATTTTAGTTTCTTTGCTTAATAATAATTGGGGGTGTAGCTCATATGGTAGAGCGCTCGCTTCGCATGCGAGAGGCACGGGGTTCGATTCCCCGCACCTCCAATTTAACTATTGTTTTGCTCTTTAGCATAATTTTGTCTTTCATGTATCTTACGTAAAAAAAAAAAAAGAAGAGAGATAAATATCAAAAATATATTTAAATTATGCACTTTTTTTTAGTTTCATACCTAAATTATTGAAAGTGTGAGTTTCAATAATTTATAGTAGTGTGTATAGTGTGTTCTCTTTTTTATATGAAAAAAACTTTGACACATGGCATTCCACATAAATAAAATATTTTATCGAAATAAAAATTAATATTAATTAAAAATTAAAGATTACTATCTATATAAAAAAAATTAAGTTATTTTTCTTATCACACTCCACCACCTCCTCCACGTACCATCTCTCCCCCGCGACAACCCCATCCTTTTTTTTAAAAAAAATTATTTATAAAATGTTTTTAAAATTTTCATATTTCAACCTCCCCCTTCCCCCATAGAAATTAATATTATTTCATTTAAAAAAATCTATCTATATATTTTTTCGCTCACAATTTTTATTTTTTTAAGTTTTTCTTATTTTGTGTTAAATATGCACGTACAAATATTGTTAGAAAAAATTTTCTACTAGTGTGTAGAATATAACATAAACAACTAAAAAATATAAAAAGTCTTGTGACGATAAGTAAAAAAAGCATTTTCGATATGTATATTTAAACACTGGGGAAAAAATTGAAAGTGGAGATTTAAGTGGGATGGGTAGAATTATATTTTTAAGAAAATAAAATAATATATAAATTAATATTTGATGAGGGGGAGGAAATGAAGTTAAAAATGAAATACTTTTATAAAAGAAATTTAAACAAAATAAAAAACTTTAAAATATGTTGCGTGGTAAGAAAAATATTTTACATTTTATTTTATAACGAAAATATTATTTTTTTATAATAGTTTTTTAATTTTTATTTTTTTATTTATTTTTTGTCAAGGTTGAATATTTTGTCCATGTGGAGTGTGATGTGGAAATTCTTTAAAATAAAAGAGAAAGAGTGCATTACACATACCATAATGAGAGTGGTATAAAAGAGAGATGTTTTTCTCGAACTAAAAGTGATAGTTTAGGTATGAAACTCAAACTTTCAATAGTTTACATATGAAACTCAAAAAAAAAAGAATATATTTTAGGTGTAATTTTTACACTTATCTCTAAAAAAAGGAAAAGGGCCTAAAATACCCTTGAAGTATTGAAAATAGTATAAAATTACCCTTCATTCACCTATTGGCTCCAAAATGCCCTTTTCATCCACCTTTGGGTTCAAAATTGATCACTTCTTTAATTGTTTTAAAATTAAAATATTTAAATATTTTTTAAAATACTTGGCGTTCAACTATTGATTATAATTTTGGACCTAAAGGTGGATGACAGGGGTATTTTGGACCCAAAAGGTGGGTAGGAAGGGTATTTTAGAAATTTTATACCATTTCCAATACTTTGAGGATATTTTAAGTTATTTTCTGTTAAAAAAAAAAAGATATCATATACATCGTGTAATGTAATATTTTACAATGAACCTCCTCGACCCTACCTAGCTCCGCCCCGCGATCATATTTGAGAGTAATTAGGAAGCTTTTTCTTACAAGGTAAGTGGGAATAGACTCATGTGAAAGTCTAGTTAGCTAACCAAATTTTTTAAAGAAACAACAGAAAAGGGTTTGTATTTGTATGTACACTTGATATATGATAACATCTTAACAAAATTCTACTATAGAATATACAAAATTATGATCAACTACAAAATGAATCATCACTATGATGATTTCAACCAAATACAGAAACAATATGAAAGAAAACATAAAAAAAAAATGTGCACTTTTTTCATATGTTATAATGTACTTAATGCAGTTCATTCCTACTGCATTACTTGTGCTGCTCCGTAAAGAAAAACTCAAAATTTTAGATGTTGATTCTCTTCGTTTAAATGGGGTAGCATCTCGGAAAATTTCAACCAAAAACTAGCAGCCATCGACTCAAACTCCTCTCGCTTTTACATGCTTATATAGCATAATGGATAACAACTAGAATACACAGAACAGCAGAAGCAGAGCTAGGATTGATAGCATTTGACAAAAAGAGTGTGCGAAGATTACTCCATAACGAGCTCCATATGGCGGTTGAGATCCTGGATATAATGTGTGCTTGTATATTCGTGTGAAAACATCAATGCTCTCCCTCCCATTGACCTCTGCTTCATTTCTACTGGTGCGTTCTCGCCTCTCAATAGCTGAACAACCTGCATACTCGAAGAAAATAACCATTTCGTGAAGTTTCAAATTTTATTTGCGGATTGTGTTTATTGTGCATATAAATATCAAATAGCAACTCTTATTCTTACTACAAAATCTGGTAAGTCGCGTTGGATATATGTTACTCTCTCCGTTTCAAAGAAAAACGCCTCTTTCCTTTTTTGACAAATCTTTAATTTCAATTTTTCACGAGATATGTTTAAGACCACAAGATTAAGGAACATTTTGGTACATTCTACATATTTTTAGTTTAAGACCAGAAGATTCAGATGCGTGTTTGAGATCTTTTCTGTTCTAACTCTATAACCAAGAACGCCTAGGTGATTGAATCCTTCACAGGATCAACCTTTTTTAGCTGTGTGCGTTTATAAACCTAACATTTGCAAATTCTAGCAAGGATCAGCAACACTCGAAATCAAAATTACAAATGATGGTGGGAGTTGATATGAAGGACATAAAGGGGACAGAACGTAAAAATGTACTGTTACCTTTTTCATGTTCGGACGAATGTCAGGCAAGTGGTGAAGGCAGCATAAGGCTGTAAACATGGCGCGTTTCATCTCAACAACATCGTAAACATCACCTAAACGAGGATCTGCTATTTCCTTGATGTTGTTCTTTTGCAACAACGGTTTTGCCTATGCACAATTGTAACAGGTACCAGATAATTTTCAGAAACATTGAATGAAACATACTAAAACCCCTTCAAATGAAGTTGCATGACAAATTGTATGAATATTGTGTCAGTTTAAGAGGATCATTACCCACAACACAAGGCTCTTTCTATATGAATCAACTGCACGGCGACCAGTAATAAGCTCCAATAATAGAACTCCAAAGGCAAATACATCCGTTTTTTCATTGACAATTCCATGCATAAAGTACTCTGGAGCCATATATCTGAATATCAATTTGCAATACATTAGATCATAAGCAAGCAACATAAAGGAACATGATCCAGGATTTTCACTAGGGGGTTCGAAAAATAAAAATATAAAAAAATAGTGCAGTCCCTAAGAATCAAACCTTGGAGAGGTGGGTGCATTTGAATGCCCGAACCGCTGAGTTAACCTTTTGCTTATTGTTTACAGGATTCAAAATTTATACATGTACATAAACACAAAATATCTACCCTATATATATATATACAGGGTAACTTTTTGTTGAGGGGGTTCGGGTGAACATTCTCTCGTCCCTCTAGATCCGCCCTTGGTCATGCAATTTAAAAGTACTAATTTTTACATACCCAAAAGTTCCTTCAATGGGAGAAACAACATGATGAACCCATTTTTCTGGCAGCCACTTTGCTAGTCCAAAATCAGAAATCTGCACAACAAATTGGAAAAAAGAACTTGAGAAATCGAAATGAAATCTCACTGCCCAATTGAAGTTTCTAAACAGAAAGAAAGATTGAAACCTGAGGTTCATAATCTTCAGTTAGTAATATGTTTGAGGCAGTAATATCTCTATGGATTATGCGCTTTGGACATTCACAATGAAGATAAAGCAATCCTTCGGCAATACCAGCAGCAACTTTATATCTTATATCCCAATCAAGTCTCTCATCCGAACCTGAAATGCCGAGTTTTCTGCTTATCAGTCACTCTATAGACATTTCATTCAATGTTAAGTGCATATTTATGATCACTAGGCAAAGAAATCAAATCAGTACTGAACGAACATAGCTAGTGTTTAGAGGGAATACAGCACCGTGTATTAAGGAACCGAGGCTTCCATGGTGTAAGTACTGAAGAACAAGGTATAAACCGCCATCAGCACTATAACCTATTAACTTAGCAGCATTAGGATGGTTAATGTGAGCAATAATTCCCAGCTCAGATAAGAAATCATCAACTTTATCCTCGTCTTTCTTCTCTTGCTTAGTTATTTTCTTTACCGCGACTACTTGACCATCAGATAAACGCCCTTTGTACACATCTGCATGTCCCCCTTGCCCGATCAACTTGTCTGTCACATTTCAAGGCATGATTTAGTAATTCAAAGGGTTAACTACGCGCAAATTCAGATGGTTTTCGAGTAATACAGATTATGCAATATCCACTTAAAACGGATTAGATTTGCAAGGAAGTGACATCATTGGTGTAAAATTGTTGGAGCAATGACAATGACAAGAAGATGCAGAGAAATGTTAGCTTGCTGACGACGGAACACATCGTCAATTAAAAGGTCCTCAGGGTCGTCCGATAGGATGCATTAGAAAAAGTACTAGACACATTAGCTTGTTTTTTTTTGACGACAAGGGAAACCCGCAGCCGCTACCCTTTTGGGTGCGCACAGGGTAAAACCCCGCTCCTATGCAATAGCTTGCAAACCACATAGGAGAGGTAACCCGCACTAGGCAAGCCTGGTGCACGAGCTCGACCCAGAAGGCAAACCCCTTACTTTCGCTGGCAAGGAGTTTCAAACTTGAGACCTCCAACATGGAAGTCCCAAACTCAAACCACTGAGCCACCGCGAAGGGTAGACACATTAGCTTGTGTAGTACCAATACCTTGTTAAATTTTTTCAACTTATGTATAGTTATACACTATTTGATATTACATGACCAATCATGGTATTAACAATGGAAGGTTTCGAATGCATGCATTAGCATGGTTAAAGACACAATTGTCCCTCAAAACCTTTTCCACATCTTTTCTACCATTATTTGTGGAGGGTACTTTCACCGACATAATTTATTCTAGAAATTATACAATGCATATTATTTTTTATATACCAAACCAAAGAGTGTGTAAAAATAATCACAGCATAACTAATACTAACATTACTAATAGACCTATTCAACGCTCATCTTACACGCTCTATCAAACGACCTCTTAATGAGACAAAAGCATCTTACACTTTCTTGGTGGGGACAAATAGAAACATGAAGGACCATAGACATTAAGGAAAATTTAATAAATTGGCCCATCAATAACACATGGCCAACTCTACAACAAAAATTTCCATATTCAACCCTGATGTCTGATAGCTGGCCTAATGTTCAATGTTCTGAACATTACAATAGTTCCAATTCTTTTATAGGAACTACCATTTTCTCTTATCTATCCAGTCTCAAGAACTTGACAAATTAACCATAGAACTAACATAACTTTTATAGATCAAAATAAGGCACAAAAAATGAAACTTCCTACAAAGATGATCTAGTGAATGCATCAATCATAGGATGAAAATTACCCGTTTTGATTGTATATATAACAAAATTAATGTATTTTTCCTAAAAAGGATTACTTTTTTTTCTTTAGTACTTCAAGAAGTCAAAGTTTACTTTCCACCATGCCCAAAAACGAATGAGGATCAAGAACAGTCCTGTTTCGGCAGCAAATTACACTGGTTATACAT